TGAACTGAGAGAATGCCAACTACTCCCACGTCTGGCAAGAATCAAACAGCTCACAATGATTCAACCAGAGGAAAGGTATGGCTATCGGAATACCTACCCTAAGGTGCCTATCCTACTTGCCTCAAAGATGCCAAATTTGGAACGCTTCAAGCTATTCATGAACGACGATGAAAAGAGATTCAACGAAATACGAATCAACAACCGGAACGAAGCGGCACAGGCTATTCGAGAGCTGTCACTGCCGTTGCTGAGGAAAGCCGAATTCGAGTTCTTCCAGAGACGATATCGAAACGAGAGAGCAATGCCGCCAGCGTTGCATGAGTCCGGAGCCCCAGATCCGTTGAGCTCTGCTATCTGCGCATTTTCACAAAATCTCGTAGATCTGAGTGTCACCGGCTCCTTTGACGACTCCCTCCTCAGACCTGTGCAGGGCCTGAGCAAGACATCATGGCCCAACCTCAGATTTCTCGACGTTAACATGCACGCCACTTCTCCTTCAGGAAATTGGTACTTCAAAAAGGCAGACGGAAGCCCTGATCACCGGCCCTACAACCACAGCTCCAACACAAACAACGCCCACTCAGATCTGCACAATGAAGAGTTCAGCTTCGTAGAGGAAGCCGCCTACGCGCGTATGACTCCGGTAGAAGTCTTCCGCTGCAAGCCTGACGACGCCTACATCGTGCCTTTCATCGATGCTTACGCCAATGCGCTGAAGGTGATGCCTACGCTCACATCCGCGGCGCTCAACTTCCAGCTCGAGTACGAGGCCGAGGAGGATGAACCCAGCTGGATGTGCATTGCGTACTTTGCGCCCTGCCGCACGGCGCCAAAGCATCCTCCGAGGTTGCTATGCCCGAAATGTAATAGAGGCGTGACACGCCAGCTGGTGAAGTTGTACCTTGACTGGGAGCCAAGCGATGAGCTGGCAGCTAAGCTGCGTGCGATTGGAGACGAGGTTTACGAGGCGCCGATGGTGGAGAAGACAATGGCTCAGTTTATGGATCAGCATGAGTGGGTTAATAACGAAGAGCCTTGAGAACGGAAAGAAGTTCGTTCCTTAACTCGCAAGCGAGGGGATTATGTATCCTGGGCAACAGCTACTGCCTAGAGGTGATCAGCGCAGCTTCATGGGCTATTGCCAGAACCCGATAGTCTCCATGTAGCAGATGAATCCATCGGATCAGTTTCTAATGAAATTTATTGTTGTGATGTCCATCAGTTGGTTGAGACCTTAGATCAGATCTCATAGATAGATGCGTCTCTCGAGAGTTTAAGGTAGGTACAGAATACTCACAGGCATGCTATGTCTAATAACAACCCGTGATTGTGTTGAAACAGACCAGTTCAACCCTTCTATTGACTTCTTAACAACGTTGTGGCTTCAAGGATTGAAAAGTCTTGCGATAGTCAATGCCATGACCTGCGAGTCAGAGGTAAGCGACGGCCCATAACTTCATAGAATTGACATGATCATTTCGAGGCGCAATGTCCTTTCCACTTCAGTTGCCCTAGACTCCGACCCCGCCTCCTTTTTCCATGAACTTGGGTTCTCATAATACAAGACGCATCTTGTTGTCAGACGAGCACTTCAGACCCCTGCAAGGTCTCAGCAGACGATGTGAGTAAATACAACCCATACATATATAATAATCATTCGGCAGATCCTCCCCTCGTCTGGGTATACTTAACGTCTCGTAAATTCAGTCTGTTAAATTGCGTTGAGAAAAAGCTTTACGGACGATCAAACACAGCATGTTTCTAGATATGACCCAACACACAGCCAAGGCACAAGACAAAAGTTAGCAATAGCAAGTAAGCATATTTGGTATATAGGCAAGGTATGGTGCTAAGTTGCCTTCACTTGTTCGCTGCTCTCTTCAGATCCACAATGCCAAGTTATGTTTTAGGGTGCACTATACTCGAGACAAAGATGGGACGGTCAAGAAAATGGAGAACATTGCCCTCTTAGTCGGCATTCTATGCCTGCTGTGGAGGTTGAGATTTCTTTGGGGTGTACCCGACGGTATTATTCGAGAGAGCATAACACAATTAGCCAGACTTCGCCTATGATATGAATGATATCTCACTCGTTACAATTTGATATCGTCTTACAATAAATTCCCGGCAAGGCTATCGACACGATGCTTGGCTCTGTAATTTAACCCCATACGAGGCTTTCATCACTGTCAAGAAGGGTAGCACAACTTCCGTTCTTACGCATAAGTCGGCGTAGTCGGTTTCCTCCCAAGTATCTTGAGAGGATGGTTTTACTTTCAATCTCAAATCATATTCCCAGTGCCGAGAGACCGGTTGGCGCAGCTGATTGCCTCGCAATGCGTTGAACTCCTATGCTTCACGAGCTCTTCCAAATGCGAGTTTCATCAAGGTGGATACACAAAAAACTGGGTGTAAGTTCCGAACACCGTCAAGAAGCCACTTTTGCAAAAGGCAAATCACATGAGCTTCCTCGACCTGCCTGTAAGGTGGGCATGTGGCTTAGAGGTTTAAGGTTTGTAAGACGTGTTCCCTGGCGTAGATCGGACTCGGATCTTGTCATGGGTGACCACCCCATCCCTAGTGCCGAAACAGGCTCGAGTTCGTGTGGTCTTCAAAGAATGAGTGGGTCTACGTGAGGTTACAGCCAGTCGTAGCCATCGCGCAGCGCAGCGAAATTTCCCAGAAGGGGCAGAGGGTGAGGATGGAGCGAGGGGCCTATGTGGCCAATGGTTGTACAAATTTTGATTTGTCTTGAAGAGTTCCAACTCTAAACACCAGATACTAGAATAGGGCTAACAGAAGTAAAGTTGAAGCAGCGTTTTAACTCTAAGAAAATAAGAGAAGTCTCTCCTGATCGTCGTTTAGACTTACTATTCATCTTGGCAAAGGAAGACTGATGCATCATCGAACTGCTTTTCTAAACCTTCAATAAGAGTAATTTGAGGAAAATTGGGGACAAACAGTGGCAGGTAAGATAGTCTAGGAGAGGCGGCCTAAAGACGGAAACCCAAAGACATGACGCAGTTGTACGAGCTAGAATATTATTTGTGAGATTGACGTAAGATACAGATGCAGCGAAGGACCGGTAGCAACCTTTTGTACAAATTTATATAAGGCCAACCGATTTACCCTTCTACTAGTCATCTCGCCACTTCAGAGCATTACATTCGAAACTCGCAACCATTTCCTAGCATTGCAATACTTGAATTCAGAAGATGCAATTCTTTACTCACGTGCTCGCCATCTCTGGCGCTTTAGTGTAAGCTTGTCGCCTTGGGTTATTCTCAGGAACTAACGTTTCTATTCAGTGCCTTCGCTTCGGCCGATCTTCACACTTACTGCGCTTGTCAAGGCGGTACTGACCTCCCCATCCATGTCTACGCAACTCAACGTGTACATGATCAAAACCAGGAGATTTTGAAGTGGGGTACGTTCACTTTTTGCCGTTTCCGTTCAAAGATGTGGCTGATCAATCTTAGGCCAAGATGCCCCTGGTATTTGGCTCGGGCACGCGTCGGGGCCAGGTCCTCGCTTCGGCGGTTCTTTCGTCGAACGCAAGGTCGGCAGAATTGACGGCAAATGGATGTACAATCAATGCCGTCTCTACGGTGGCTTGGATTCTACTTGCTTTGAGTGCTCGCGGGTTCAGATGAATGGCAAGGACAAGCTTTGCACTCAGAGCTAGATTGGATCTCTTCGTTGGGACATGATTAACTGTCGAGACCCATTGTAGAGGGAAAAGATTGACTGAGTTGGGCAGGGATGTTGTGAGCGATGGACAAGTCGATAGATCGTTGGATGGAAATCTACTAAAATTATCTTGAGAAGAAGCATTGCTTCAAGCTCTAAACTTCTAACCTCCTGACTGCTAGCCTACGAAGTAATACAGTAGAGAATCTCAATAGTATTAGACTTATACGTTGCTACTAGCAATCTGCCATTGTCTTGCCGAAAGCTGCCTCGGCTCTCTGCAAAGCCTGCGAAAGGTGTGTCTCTTTCTGAACAGGGATTATTGTTACACTCTGACCTTACTGTTGTGGCTTCTTTTTCTGGCTTTACAGGCGCAAAAAATCGACCTCAACGGGATCAGTATTCCCAAGAAGATCACATGATACGGTACAATTCCTAATTAAACGGTATGCGCAGCATGCGGCAGGCACGCGCTGAACACAATATAGTGATTTCGACACAATGCCGCCATGCAATTCGAGATATCACCACGTGCTATAAATCGTGACATTTTTCCGCAGATCGTTTAGTCTGCAGGGTGGCAGTGTAATGCGTCAGAACAAATGCAGAACCTCTTGAAACTTCTAGAAGAAATGGAATTCCCCATTGGTGGCTGGACGCCGGGGTCATGTCAAGTGGCTCTACCTCACCTCTTGAAGCACTGAGATCCGAGATCGGTTTGGTACTATCAATTGCTAGAACCAAGCATCACCTCCTTGCAGAGCAGTAAATTCACGGTACACAAACCGGAAACCTCAGCATCCTATGCGCTAAAAAAGCTTGGGCTGGACTAAGGAGTTGGGCTCTGTTCATCCCGTCCCGGAACCTGACTCGAGAATGAGCGATACTCGCAGAACATCTCTGAGGTTGTCTGTGGTTGCGATGATAGAGTTCGACAACATGCGAGAAACCGTTTGGGAACTGGTGTGGGCGCCGTCTCAAGTTGCTGGGCCCGTCTGTCCCATCCTAGGCAGCTCTCCCCTGCCGACTTTGAAGCACTGCAGAACCAGTGCTTCGATTGACTTGAGGTCAGCGACTGTGAGCTGGAACCTGACTCAACTGTCGGCCGCAGCACTGTCGAAGCACTGGGCTGCCGTTTCAGGGTGTCTTCTCTTCGCTACTACGACGCGCATCTCTCCAAGATCCCCCCATATTTTTAGCTTTTGGCTACTGTCTTCGGCGTTCGCGGGCGGCCTTTGTGTGGAACTCCCTCACCCCTCCGCGACGTTGAGCCAACACTCCCGCGCTTCACCACCAATTCCTGCCCGTTGACTCCCGCCCATACCGAATCCATGGGACACATCGTAGGGCGGGCGGCAGGGCTTAGTGTCTGTTAAGCAGGTTACATTGAGGTGGATCTGGCAGCATGCCGGGGTGGGCAGTTCAACCTCGAACTCCTGTCCTCTGGCCAATCGCATCCAACATTGCATACTGACGGACCTGGCTCCAAGCAGTCCGGCGACTTTCAGAGAAGGTGGCATACCTTGGAGGAACGGTATTGCCTCTGATATAAAGTTGACTTGACAGACGAGGGGAGGGGATCGTCTCAGTTCTTTCAAGGGCCAAGCCATTCTTTTCTGACCACAGTCTCCCTGTTCCAACATCCAGACCAGACGCTCTTTCAGTCACCATATATCCCCACGGCATCCCACACCTCGAAGTAGTCGAAGACCAAGGTTCTCGTGCTTGCCGTCGCATCTGCCACTCATTCAGTCGACGAACAGTCTGTCAAAGCTCTATCAACTACTCAACTATATCCCTCCTTCTATACATCGACTTCTGTCACCAACAAAGCATCCACGCAATGCGCTCTTCAATCCTTTACCTCGCCCTGGCCGGCGTCGCCAGCATCGCGCAAGCCAACCCAATCATCAAACCAGACGCCCAAGTCGACCCCAAAGGCCTCATCACCCGCAGCCTCTCCCACCTCCTCTTCTCCCGCTCCGAACCAACACGCTCCGAGCCACCCCCAACAAAGAGACAAGCAACGCCGCCTCCCCCTCTGACGAGCAACCCAGCCGCCGCCCCGCCCGGCGGCGGCGGCGCAGTCAACAACGCCAACCGCACCGTCACCCTGACCGTGATCCAAGGCGACACCCTCGGCCAGATCGCGCGCCTGCTCAACTCGGGCATTTGCAACATCGCCAAGCTCAACAATATCCCCAACCCGGATTTTATCGAGATCGGACAGGTTCTGCAAGTGCCAATCAACGTCGCCAACCCGGACAACGACTCGTGCCTCAACCGCGGCGGCGCGATCCCGGCCCCGGGACAGAATGCTACTGCTCCCGGTACGCCTCCAGCGGGTGGCAAGGGGAAGGGGAAGGGGAAGAAGGTTAAGCGGAGCGGGACCCTGTTTTCCGAGAAGAGCCCCCGGGCGCCTCTGCACTAATCCGTTCCGCAAGTTGGATTTGGCCGAATCAGGAAAACATTCACCGGGAGGGCTTACTGACTTGGAAGACGGGATTTCGGGGTGCGCAGCGTGGCTGGATAACACGAGACTTTGGCAGATGGCAGCGGGTCTAGCCTTGGAGTTTTGGCATTATGGCATATTTCAGGTGCGAGATGTGTTTTTGCGTTGTTACTCATTTTTATAATATACCTGGCTGGAACAGTCTGTTCAAACATTGAAAGTAGTTCACCAACAAATGCTCCGTTGCAACTTTGGGTGACAACTTGAAGTACGAAGTAACATTGGCGAGAGACGGCGTACATTAGGATCATGTGACGTCATGCGCCGAGAGCTGCTCATGAGTCAGCAAAGGGGGAGAGTCTACCAAATGTCCGTCGCCAAGATCTGCGTCAATTTTCAAACTGCAACTATCTTCAACAGTAATCCCGCGCTGATATTGGCCGGTCAATTGATAAAGGAAGGCGAAATCCAGCTGCCATAAGTGACATGGCTGTTCTTCAAGTCTCAACGTCTCTGTTCCTCTCAAGATACTCCTGATCAAACCACGCAGAGCCATGGCTGTAACAGCATCCTCGCTGGCCTATCATGAGCCATCCATCACCACCATCGCCATCCTCTCCGGCTTTCTCCTGCTCCTCAATACCGTAAATTACGGCCTCGACAAGCTCGTCTACTGTGGTCTCATCGGTCAGGTATTCCTCGGTATCGCATGGGCTCCTCAATACCGTAAATTACGGCCTCGACAAGCTCGTCTACTGTGGTCTCATCGGTCAGGTATTCCTCGGTATCGCATGGGGAACACCAGGAGCAAAATGGCTCTCCGAAGAGATGGAGCACTCAATGGTGCAATTGGGATATCTCGGCTTGATTTTGATTGTCTATGAAGGTAAGGCCCATCTCTTGCAATGCCCCAGAACTGTGATACTCATGATTTGTCCACAGGAGGTCTCTCCACGTCTTTCAAGTCGCTCAAAGCCAACCTTTTACTCTCAATTGGCGTCGCCGTCACCGGCATCGCCGTCCCCATGGGGCTCTCCTTCACCCTAAGCTCTTTGATCGGCGCCACACCGCTACAGGCCTTCGCCGCGGGAGCAGCGCTCTGCTCGACCAGTCTAGGGACAACCTTTACAGTGCTGGGCACGAGCGGCCTCACGACCACCCGCATGGGAGTCGTGTTGACTAGCGCTGCCATGATGGACGACATTGTCGGCCTCATTATGGTCCAGGTCGTGTCCAACCTCGGTGGCGGCGGCGGCAGCGACTTCAACGCCGTGACGGTGGTCCGACCGATTCTCGTCTCGTTGGGTTTCGCGACCGTTGTACCGGCAGTGTGTAAGCTCGTCGTGGGGCCGATCACATTGCGCCTGAACACGATAAGAGAGAAGAACTCTGGGTCCAGGATTGATCAGCTTCTTCGTCTGCGTCAGACTGCCCTCGCCATCCATACGTGCTGGCTATTTGGGCTCGTTATGGGAGGGGCCTTCGCTGGGACGTCGACCTTGCTTGCGGCATATGTCGCGGGCGCCACCATCAGTTGGTGGGACAGCGAGGTGCCTCATCCCATATTCCGCGGAAAGGGCAAGCAGAAGGCATCCACGGTTCAAGTTGCATCTGCTTCAGACAACCAGGAAGCTATCTCTGTAAACCATCCAGGGCAATTGAGTTCCGAGAACCCTTCTGCTGCTGGTCCGATACCAAGCAATGGCGAATCGGATACCTATAACACAGGCATTGAGATTTACGAGCATTACTACAGCAAGGCCGTTGATCATGTGCTGAAGCCGTGCTTCTTCGTAAGTCCCCATGGTAAATAGTATGGTATTGATATCAGATGCTAAACCCGACAGGCATCCATCGGCTTCTCCGTACCGATAACGAAGATGTTTAACGGTCCCGTTGTTTGGCGTGGAATAGTCTACACCATCCTGATGATGGCTGGCAAACTAATGTGTGGTGTTTGGCTGCTATCTTTTGCCAGTCCATTGCACACCGTGCAGCGGATAACCAAGAAGGTATCCGGTGTAGGGAAGCAGAAGCCGAAGAAACTCGCACCCGGAACACAATGTGGCGGGACAGCATCGGATTCGGGAGCAAACAACAGTCAGACGTCTCCGTCAAAGCAGTCACAGCAGGACCAGGAGCCGCGACAGGGTGCGCAAGATGGTCAAGCGGAAGAGATGCCGCCTCAACCGCTCGACTCGCGACAACCCAGAAAAACTCCGAAAAATGCTTCTCCCAAGCCGGAGATGCCCGTTTCCGTGTATCCGGCCTGCATCCTAGCCTTCGCGATGGTCGCTCGCGGTGAAATTGGGTACTTGATCTCTGCACTAGCCGAAAGTACCGGCATCTTCAGCGGCGGGTCAGGCGCACCCGATCAGCCTTCGGAGATGTTCTTGATCGTGACGTGGGCCATCACTTTATGCACAATCATAGGACCGATTTGCGTTGGTCTGCTTGTGAATCGGGTAAAGCGGCTTGAGGCGCTCAGCGGCAAAGGCACGAACGGAGGTGGGCGGAACGTTCTCGGTGCCTGGGGTGTGGAATAGACGGCAAGAGAGACCTTTCCGCGAGCGATAGACAAGCAATTCCCGCGTTCTTCTTGAAGCTGCCTCCATATTGGCATATCCCCATCCTCATGCGGTAGACACGTCGGGCTCATCTGTAGCCCAAGTCAATAGCCAGTCCAGGTCATACAATGTAGCGTCTGAAACCGGTACCAAGACTTCGACAGTCTTGACGTTCATGTACGTGTCAGTCGGGATCATGTATATAGATCGAGTATGTTCCTCCCGAGTCATGAACCGTCGACTGCGACTCCTTGGAAGCCCGACTGCTCCCACCACTGCTTCAGCCCGTCCACGTCACACCAGTCAAACTGTCTTGGCTCCTCAAACCACCACCTGCTACCGTGTTTGGGCTTGTCGCTGACATATTTCTTGAGGCAGCCACCATCAAATCGGTGATTCTTGACCCCGACAAGGAGTACGACGCTCCCAATCTTGGGGGTGAAGGCCTCGGCGTCGAGGAAAACGGTCAAGATGACTTGCTTGCTAGTGCTCGGGTCGACTAGTCGAGCAGTTCGTTGTGTGTGATGCGGCGGCATGTGGGACGGCTCGATATCGGATAGTGAGGCGACGACTGCGAGAACGTTGACAGACCAATTTTGTTTGTAGGGCAAGTTCGGGATGGACCGTAAAGAGGTCAGCTTTAGGGGTGTGTTCGGATCTGTCCAGTCGCGCGGCAAAGCCACAGGACCTCCCTTGTTCTTGGCCTGCACCCGACGCTGAGTTGCTTTCGTCTCCGACACTTGCATAACCTCGAAACCATCTTCGTCTTCATCGTCAGCCTCCACGGTGACACAGGTTGTCCCAATCGAACGCGTGTGTTGCGGTCTCGGACGTTGGGTCGATGTAGGTATCGAGATCGGTCTTGGTTGTCGTGCCTTTGTCGGAGTTGCGACAGACTCCACATCGCTATCGGAGACGACCTCTTCCTCAACTTCATGTTCCGGGGATATGGCGTCGGGTTCCGTAAGAGCTCTGTGCCATCCAACTGTGACTAGATCGTGGACCACCAAGTATACCATCTGCCGCATCCCTCCAGAGCGACCGTCATGCCCGACAAGATCCTGTAGACGAATCGAGAATTCCCCCAAGCGGACGTAGCAGCCGACGCGGACAGCTCTGTTGTCCAGGAAACGATGCATTTCTCCCCGGAGGAGAGCTTGTATACATAGCTCACCATCCCCCAGCATTAGTCGTATAGCCCTCCATCGCTTCGACCGTGGCACCGGGAGCGACTCGACGTCTTCAACAAGGAATATGGAACCAGGGATGCAGTAGCGGGTGCGCAGCAGGTCGTTAATCAAGGGGTTCGGAACGAATGGCTCGGCGTCATTGGCAAATGCTACCTCGGCTGGGCTCGCCGGCTTTTCGGGCGTGTTGGGGGACATGTGGACGCGTTCATCGTTTCGCGGCGACGCGGCGTGGAAACTGAGGCCGTGGGCGTCAAGTGGTGATGTTTCTGTCAGATTCCTTCGCCAGTGGGGAGATGGCGCGAGGTCACTGACAGGGCGGTGGCGTGGCGGGCATGCCCACTGAAGATTCGCTAATGCAAGTCATTACGTAGCTTTGGGCGACAGCTAGGGATCACCCCGGCCCGGCCTGACAGTCCGATCCTACCCTCCACCATGCATTCGCATTTCCTTCTTTCAGCATTCGCGATCGACTTTACTCGCAGAATAAATTCGGACTCGCTCTTTTAACTCATTTTTGACGTGTTTGATGACCACCGACATAATTTTTTTGATTGACTCAGGTCATAGAACTTTTCGACTAATTCACAGTTGTGCGTGCTTTCTAACTTAGTCTCGTCTCCTTCACTATATTCCGTGTAAGATCCATCAATGTTTTCACTCAACCACCTTATGCTCATTTATCGCCTCTCAGGAAGCTGCTGCAGACCGCGCTATCTCTAACTAGCTATGGTCACAGTTACGTCACAAACCCTTAACCCTTTTCGCGGTCATTTCCAATTGCTTTCATGTTGTCCTACACTTGTGATAAACGTGGTCCTCACATGAAATGGCACAGGGCCTTGAACTTCCTTCATGCCATTACTAGGCTGAACCAATTCACATAAGATATCATGGATATGACCCGAAATTCGAGAACTTCGGACATACTCGTCTTTACAATCGACAAATGTCACTCTAGCCATGAGCGATGGTATTACATCAAGACCTCCAGTCATCCGTTCCGGAAGGTTGATTAACCAGGCGAAGCCCTACTCTTCATTCGTCAGCATTATAAGTCTGGGTCGCAACCTCAGAAACAGTTGTCAACGAAAGAGACTCATCAATTGTAGGCTAGAGCGCTTCCCAGTGTCTGGGAAAAGATACTTTACGAGAACACATCCCATAGATAGAACAAGCAAGACTGTAGATCACTCAAATGAACGCTTGCTCAGCCGTAGATACTAGCTGCTACTGATGAGAAACAGTTTGGTTCGCATCAGTGATGCACTAGCAGTATTACCGCTTGTTTGCATAAGGTACAATCATTCGTGAAGCTGCTTAAGGAAAGTCCAACGCGACTACGGGGGATGTTGAGTTCAGATCACGACGCCTCAATGCAGCCCTGACTCCAGCTCAGGAAACCCGGTAATAGCACCGTCAGAGACCCAGCCAACAGAACGATCAAGGCGACGCAGGCAGCCGGTGGTTTAACGGTCAAGAGAGTACTTGTGGCGATACGCGCATTATGACCGTAGGAGATGTGGGCCGGGAGGGAAAATGTATCATAACCTCATTTCACCCCGTCGTTAAGTCTTTGTGGTTTTGTCGTGGGAGTAACATATTCGCTGTGATAGAATCTTGGACGTTTGAATATCGAATTCGAAGACAGCTGGTCGTGGAAAGGAGTAGTCCGTCTTAAGGTAGGCAAGGGCGCGGGAATTGGCGTCCAAAGGAGTAGCCCGTTGTACTAATAAACAGGGAACGGGTGATGAAATTGAGAAAGAAACGATTGCATGTGATGAATATGAAGTTTTTGACTGTGTTTGACGACTAGGGGCCACTTTTAGTAATGGGCGAATGCGAACTACGGAGTCACAGCAAGCAATCTGTGGCCACTTGAGCTATACGAAAGCGATGCTGGGATATCCACAAAGTTTGCTTATTTATGCTTGATACCGGGAGGATCTACGCCCAATCGAGGATCGACATTCTTCTTGGACACCCCGATATTAGGGCCCGCCTCAAAAACTTCTTTGACGCCGCTAAGAGAAGCAAGCGGAGGAAGCGGTCTCCTTCCAGCTCCATACCGAAGGCTACGGCTGTCGCGTTCGACTTGAGGCACAGCAAAATCAGAGGAGCTTGGCCTCGAATCCGAACTTGGATGTAAGGATGTACGACGAACTGTAGATTCTGTCACGGGAAATCGTCTACGTGTAGAACGACATGCGCGCAAACAACCAAATTGAGAAAGAAAGTGCTGCTCACCTTTTAACCCCGATCAGTAATACCCAACAGTCGACTTTCTTTCATCAACTTGGAAGCAGAACACTTGTCCGAAGCACTTTGGTGGTTTACAGCATTTTGATAGATCTTTCAAGTATGTACGGATTTAAGAAAGAAGTTGAGACGTAAATACGCCAGACGGAGTGCTATAGAAGGCCGCCAACTCAGATATTTGTAGGGAACGTGGGTTTAAGAGTGTGGTTGGCTGGTTTCAGGGCCTCTTCCTCGTATTACACTGGCAGTCCGCGTATTCAGGGTGAGCCTCTGTAGTACCACTCAGTAAGGTGCCTCCTGGCAAGCTGGCACAGGATCGAAGCTTGGCCGGATTGTAACCCTAATTCCGACAGCCGGGGTCATATAACAGACAAATAAGGTACAACCCCTCCAATCCCATTCGCTGTCGGTTTGCAGCTTCTGCCTTGGACAGAGAACGGGATCCAAAAGAGCGGGCTCTTGTAAGAGCCCGCGCTGCGGCAGGATCCGCGTCTTACCTCGGGGATGGGGATGGGAATGCCAATCTTAAAGTGTTGATTTCCCCGCAGGGGCCTGGCCGGCGGGAGCGCCACCTTCCGGCGAGAGTTATGCATGTTCCGGCTGACTTATGCAACTCCGGGCCCGAATGACCTATCCCGCAGACTAAGGAGACGAACAGCGTGGGTTCTTTGGGAAGAGCATGCATGCTATTTTGATTACGGCCAAAGACTGAAGGCGCTTTCCATGTGCCACAACATACTAAATAGGAGAGAGCCCGACGCGGTCGTGCGACTGTCCCATTTTGAGGCATCATGGGCATTTAAGCACTTGTTAGCTTGTGTCCCATGTCAAGTCGTAATCCGTCATACACGTGGCTCTGCTAGCTCACCACGAGAATTCATGTTATTGGTGTCTATCTCTGTGCTCCTTGACGATACGGACATAGGGACTCAGATGTCGAGGCTACCATCCCCCCGGATTTAGGGAGTGAAATAATCACCGGTGGTCTAGGCAGTTCCCAGTAACCCAAGCTTGATCGTCTAATATTTTGACAGAAGCGCTCGGTCTCCTGACAGCAATCAGGCTGGAATGACACCGACACGTTGGGAAGCCACAGTTGGAACGAGAAAGCGAGGAAAATTCTGCGCCAGAACGAACCATCAGTACGCAATGCCCCGTGTCCTGCCATGTCAGTGTCGCCTCTGTTCATCAAATGGTTCCAGGCCGTCTAATGTTGAAGGGGGTATGATCCCTGCGCCCATCAGTGTCGTCCAATCGCTGAGAGGCTCGCGATCGCATTGTCAGGGTATCTCGCTTTCGGATTCTTAATTCGTGGTGTGCTGATGGGGAAACCAACGAACTAGTGCGGCGCATGGTCCAGCCATGGCACAACTTTGTGCAATCGGAGCTGAACCCCTTCTCGAAGACCCGGGGTTGCTGTCCGATTCTGGGTCTCCCGCGACGAATATAATGTAACCGTCTTCCCGTTACTTTTTCCAGCTTTATTCTTGAGGCTCAAGCCAAGAACTTCTTGTTTCTACATACAAATAACGA